AAAGCTCCTGCTATGTGACAGGCACTGCAGTACCTGCTGGGGACACCGTGGTGGACAAGATGGCCAAGGTCCCTGTCTTCACAGAGGCTGGAGCCTAGTCGGAGAGAAACATGAGTCCAATGACTTCAGATCTAAACCCGGAAGCCAGACAGCAAGCGAGTGGGAGGCGGGTAGGGGCTGCATTTGCCAGGGTGCTGAGGGAGAGACATTTCAGCTGATACAGGAACGGTGAAAGGACCCAGCCCTCCATGGTCTGGGAGAGGAGGGCTCCAGACAGGGGAAACAGCAAGGGCAAAGGCTCCAAGGAGGAAACACATGCTTTGTGTGCTAAAAAACCAGAAAGATGGAGTCAGGGGGATGGAATGGAGGAGGGGGAGGAGGTTGGAGAGGTGGCTTGTGCTGGCTCAGGTGAGGCAGTTAGGACATATCATGGTTTGGGGGAGGGCATGATAGACAATATTCACCAGGCACAAGAAATACTGAATCATTTTATTTCTCCAGGATAACACCTACATAAAACACTTACTCTGTTCCAGGCACTGTAAGTGCTCAGCATGTATTAACTCGTGTGATCTTCTCAACAATCCTTTGAGGCAGATACTAAACTCATTTTATAGATGGGAAAGCTGAGGAACTGAGAGGCTAAGTAACTGCTCTGAGATCAGAGCTAGTAAATAGCAGAAGCAGGATTTGAACTCAGGTGGTTTTAGAGCCCACCTGCTCAGCTATGGGCCTTGGAGCCCCTTCCTATCAGAGTAGCTAATTCCTGGGGTTCTCTTTCTTCGGTGACCAAAAGCTTTAGGGACATGTTCAGCTGTCCAGAAAACTTAAAAGTGAGTTCCTGGCCTTTGATTCATTCTGGCCACCATTGAAATGCTCACTCATTTTGATTCATTCAAAACTGAGAAACTGACCCTCTCTGTACCAGGGGTAGACTTTGGGGTCTTTGGCTCCAGCTCCAGAGGAGCTAAGCATTCCCACCCCATCTCATTAGAGACCTCTGCCTGCCGCATCCACTTCACTCCTGGACTGCCCTGGTCTCCTGGGGTTGGCCTGGCTTCCTCTCTCAGTGATCAAGTTGCCCAAACCAGGGCCTTGGCAGGAATTTACCCGTGGCGCCTGATGACCTCTGCTTTCCACCTTCAGCCAAGGAAATCAGAATCTGGACTACAAAATCTTGGCCATTCCTAGACTGCTTGCTGGGAAAATCCTGCCCTTTCTTTTAAATCTCCCTCAATAGTGAAAACAGAATTAAAAATAACACCTCAAAGTCCAGCCAGCCACCCGAATTGCCAAGCCCTCATCTCTCTCTCTTTTTTTTGAGACAGAGTGTCACTATGTTGCCCCATATAGAATGCCGTGGCATCACAGCTCACAGCAACCTCCAGCTCTTGGACTTAGGCAATTCTCTTGCCTCAGCCTCCCAAGTAGCTGGGACTACAGGCACCTGCCACAACACCCAGCTATTGTTTTTGGTTGTAGTTGTCATTGTTGTTTGGCAGGCCCAGGCTGGATTTGAATCCACCACCTCCAGTGTATGTGGCTGATGCCCTAGCCGTTGAGCTACAGGCGCTGAGCCCTCATCTCTTTTTTAAGGAGTTATTAATCTTGTAATACTCTTAAATAAATAATAAGTAAATAAATAAATAAATAAATGTACCATTTTAAAAAAAGAAAGCATCCAGCATAGTCCTAGGTACACCATACTTCTCAGCCACACAGAACTTTTTCTTTTTAACCCATGAGTCATTTAGGAATGAACACAGTACTTCTTAAAAAGGGGCTTTGAGGCTAAGTGCAATAGCTCATGCCTGTAATCCTAGCACTCTGGGACACCCAGGTGGGAAGAAACATTTGGGCTCAGAAGTTCCCGATCAGCCTGAGCAAGACCAAGACCCCATCACTACTAAAATAGGTGTTGTGGTGGCACCTGTAGTCCCAGCTACTCGGGAGGCTGAGGCAAGAGGATGGCTTGAGCCCAGGAGTTTGAGGTTGTTATAATCTAGGCTGATGCCATGGCACTCTAGGCTGGGCAACAGAAACCCCATTTCCCAAAAAAGGGGGAAAAAAAGAAGAAAGAGGACGGGCTCGTGCCTGTAATACTAGCACTTTGGGAGGCCGAGGCGGGTGGATGACCTGAGCTCATGAGTTTGAGACCAGCCTGAGCCAAAGTGAGACCCTTGTCTCTAAAAATAGCTGGGCGTTGTGGCAGGTACCTCTAATCCCAGCTACTTGGGAGACTGAGGCAAAGGTATCACTTGAGTCCAAGAGTCTGAGGTTGCCGTGAGCTGTGATGCCATAGTACTCTACTGAAGGCAACTAAGTGAGACTGTGTCTCAAAAAAAAAACCCAGAAGGAAAGAATAGTTTTGAATGAGCCAAATTGGGTCCCAGTTATCAGCTGTGCAACTCTGTGTCTAATACTTGGGCTCTCTGAGCCTCACTTTCCTCACCTGTTAAATGGAAGTAATGACAACCTGTGCTATAAACATTCAGTGAAATAACGGCTGTAAAGGAAGCAGTCACTAAACCTCAGCTTCCTGTCACAATTTTCCTAGGCTGGTGGTATATGCCAAGGATGCATACATCCTTGGGAAATGCTAGGATTCCCCCTTTCAGGTCCCTTGGCTGCATAAGGTCATGGCTACACTAGGTCCCCACTTGGATCCCATCTGTACTGAGAGGGCTGGAAAAACCCCAGCTACTGGTGACTTTGTAAGCTCAGCTAAGGGGACTTTCCTCTCCCAAGCTGGGCAAATGCCCAAAGCAGGGAATGGATGAGGCCTGTGCCTTGGGGTTCATCGTTGGTGTCTAAGTTGCTGAGAAGAAATCTGGACATAGTGGATTTCTCCTTTCCCATTTTTGGTCTCAGAGACCTGGGGTTTAAATAGGTTCCTCTAGGGCCGGAAAGTCACCTGAAAAGTATCAGGGGAGAACAGGTAACAGTTCACCCAAACCCAGGAAAGAGGGCAGAGTGGAACCCCCATTAGGCAAGCACTTTCTCCCAGGCAGGACAGAAGGGCAGCAGGGCTGACTTGGACTCCAGCCTTTGTTTTCTCCACTCTGAAATGCTGCACACTCAAAAAGGCTAGTGGTGTGAGGGCTGAGAGGAGAGTTCAAGAGATGGACAGTGCAGGGCCCCAAAGAGGAACTTAGGCAAGTCAATTGGCCCATCTGAGCCTTAGCGCCCCAGTCTGCAGACGCCGGGAGGGGCTTGCTAGCAGCCCTTGCTTTGAAGTACTTGCCTCAAAGGGAAGTTGTAGATATCTGGCCCCTCCATTGTCTTGGTGACTTCCTGCATATCCCTACATCCGCTCTCTCTACTCAGCACCCCACACACATGCCTCAGAGAGGCAACAACACCTCTAAAACACATCCTGAGTCTTGAATTTGGCCACCCTTCCCTGGTCCAGGCACTATCATCGTGCACTCTCCCTGCCATGGCCTTCTGCCTGGACTTCACTTCTTCACTTGGCCTCTCATCCATAATCCACACAGCAGCCAAACGGATCATTCTGGAGATCCATCAGCACCATGCCACTCCCTAGCGTAAAACACTCCTGTGACCCGATCACGCACAGAAGAAAATCCAAACTTCTTTCCCGGGCACCCCAACCCTGTGCAATATGGACCTCAGCCTCCTCTCTCTTTACCCCTCCCCCAATGGCCTCCTTGCCTCTCCAACAGACCACCCTCCTCTCTGCTCCAGGGCCTTTGCACTGGCTGTCTCCCATCTAAAACACTGCCACTCCCAGCTTTGATCCTGTCTGTCTCTCTCCTTTTGAACTAAATGTCACCTCATCAGAGAGGCCCCCTAACCATGCTCCCTAGGAGAGCCCCTAGTCACTTTGGATCATTGTTAAAAGGATAACTTTTAAGATAAAATCATAATTCTCATATAAATATAAAATGAACATACATTAAAGATTTTATTTAAGGCTCAGCATCTGTAGCTCAGCAGCTAGGACGCCAGCCTGGGGTTGGCACCAGCTAGGACATACACTGGGGGTTGCTGGGTTCAAATCTGGCCAGGGCCTGCCACACAACAGTGACAACTACAACAAAAAAATAGCCAGGTGTTGTTGCCTCTCTGAGGTAAGAGAATCTCTTAAGCCTAAGAGTTTGAGGTTGCTGTGAGCTGTGATTCCACGGCACTCTATCAAGGGTGACATAGTGAAACTGTCTCAAAAAAAAAAAAAAAGATTTCATTTAAGTCATTAATCAGGGACAGCACCCTGATTAGCTTAAGGAGTAGGGCGCCAGCCCCATATAGGGGGTGGGAGGGTGGGTTCAAACGCAACCCGCCTGGGCCAAAAATGCAAAAAAAAAAAAAAATGTCATTAATCAATGGAGAAACTAGTACAATTTTACTACTGGTTCAAAGGAGAATTCAAAGACACACATTATTAATGGGAAATGCCGATATAGAGAGAAAACTGATCAATAGGCTCGGAGCCTGTAGCTCAGTGGCTAGGGTGCCAGCCACATACACCAGAGCTGGCGGGTTCGAAACCAGTCCGGGCCTGCCAAAGAGCAATGAAACTACAACAAAAAAATAGCTGGGCATTGTGTAGGGCACCTGTAGTCCCCAGCTACTTGGGAGGCCTGAAGCAAGAGAATGGCTTAAGCCCAAGAGTTGGAGGTTGCTGTGCACTCTAATGCCACTGCACTCTACAGAGGGTGACATAGTGAGACTCTGTCTTAAAAAAAAAAAAAAAAGGACACAAAAGAAGTCAGTGATAGGGAAGTCTTATAACTCATAATTTTCTTCCGCCAGCAGACTAAATAGTCCCATGAACATTTTTGTTCTATGGAAAAAATAAATTCTAGGAATGCCTTGTCACCCTATATTTCAGCACAAATGCTAAATAATACCAAAAATTTAAGTAAAGTGGATTGTCAACTTTGACATTCCTCTCCTAAGGATTCTTCTAGGGGTCTCGTGATATATAAGGGAGCCCGTCGGGATGCCGGATCCTCTTTCGTGTCCTCACTGCGAAGATGACAAAGAAAAGAAGGAACAAAGGTCGTGCCAAAAAGGACCGTGGCCATGTGCAACCTATTCGGTGCACGAACTGCACCCGATGCGTTCCCAAAGACAACGTTATACAGAAGTTCGTCCTTCGGAACATAGTGGAGGCCGCAGCTGCGAGGAACATTTCTGAAGCGAGTGTCTTGGGCTCTTATGTGCTTCCCAAGCTCTATGTGAAGCTACATTAAGTTGTGCTATTCACAGCAAGGTAGCTCCCACAAGGACCGGACACCTCCACCCAGATTTAGACCTGCGGGTGCTGCCCCACGACCTCCACCAAAGCCCATGTAAGGAGTTGAGTTCTTGAGCACTGAAGAATAACTAGCCTTTGGGGAAAAATAAAATGGAAATTATACTTAAAAAAAACAAAGTCAGTGGTAAAGATCTAAAGAAATGAATTCCAGCAGTCAATGAAGAGGGGCATTTGGGACAGGAAAGAGGAGGGTTTCATCATCTTGCAAATAACCAGGACCTCTGCTGCATCCTAATCCCTGAGCATCCCAAGGGGACCTGACCTACTAAGGGTGGTAAGGGGGTGTTCTCTGGCTGAGGCCTCTTTGTGATACCATTTCAGCAGTCAGAGGGCATTAAGGGGTTAATGTGACCCCACTGCTCACACCTTCTGAGCCAGAGTTACAGATATCCTCTCCAGTGCTCTCTTTCAGCCTCTCTGTACAGATAGGGACAGCGCCTGCCATTAGTACACAGCAAGTCAGTGGCACAGCCTCCCAGAGATTCAGTGGAAAAGGGCGCCCTAACAGCCCTGAGGTCTTCTGGCCTCTGGACACAGCCCGGGGGTGGTTAAGTCTGGGGTTAGGGAAGGAGGGGGCCCGAAGGGGAAGGAGGAAGGTGCTGCGCGGTACAGGAGAGGAGAGATGAGTCACGGAATGACGGCATGCAGGAAAGAGGAAGCGAGGGAGGAATTAATCCACGGATCTTCTCTGCACACCTACTGTGTGCCGGGCACGGTTTGGGCTGTGGGGACGTGGTCAGGAATAGAGGGGATCTGGCTGTGCCGCTGCAGGGCTCGGTCTACACTGGAACCTCAGTAAATGAGTTAAACACACATACAAATGTGTAACTGCACACATTTGGCGAATATTCGGAAGGAGGGCCCAGAACGCGGGTCAGACGTGGAGATATCCGAGCTTCATCTGCTTCTAAGGCCAGCAAATGGAGATATTTATAAATTCGCGCAGGTACGCGGACTTGACTGCGTCGTGCAGAAAACGCACAAGGGCATACATGCAGAAATGCAAGGGTGTTTGCGGATTTGCAGGAATCAAAGCTGACATGAATATTAAAAGCGTACATGCCGAACGAATACATGCTGGAGGCACGGATGCTTGCGTGTTTAAAAGTATTAACAAGTCTTCAGTCTCTAGGTAGGCCATTCAGATTCTCCCGTGTGCCCTGTGCGCCCTCTGGCGCCGCGGATGTGTCTTGCTGTGCCCCACCTGATCGCATCTCGCCAAGCCCTTTCGAGCAACGTCTTTATCTCCCTTTTCCAGACGCTAGGCGGAGGCACACGCTATGCACTACGCATGCGCACACTTGTGAACCTTTGGAAGAGGTTAGTTTGCAGCTCACAGTGGCGGCAGTCAGGATGGCCGAGCGGTCTAAGGCGCTGCGTTCAGGTCGCAGTCTCCCCTGGAGGCGTGGGTTCGAATCCCACTTCTGACAATGCGTGACTTTTTCTCTCACCTACTGCAAATTATTTATGATACTGGGTACATTTTTTTTTTTAATATGAAAAGGGGGGGGAAGAAAAGAAAGAAAAATATATGAAAAGGGGATTTTTTAACATGAAATGGGGAAAAAAGAAAAAAAAGAAAGGAAAAAATATATGAAAAGGGGGATTTGGGGGTTGGGATGAGCATATGCGCACAGTTGCCTTGTTTTTTTTTGTCGAGACAGAGTTCTACCCTTTGCCCTGAGCAGAGTGCAGTGGCATCGTAGCTCACTGCAACCTCAGACTCTGGCTTGTAGGCATCCTGCTGCCTCAGCCTCCGAAGCCGCTGGGATTACAGGCGCTCGCCGCGGCGCCCGGGTTGGTTTTTTCCATTTTTTTCCATGAGTTGGGGTCTCACTCTCGCTCAGACAAGCCTCGAACTCCTGAGCTCAAGCAATCCTCCCGCCTCAGCCTCCCAAAGTGCTGGGATTACAGGCGTGAGCCACCGCGCCCGGCTGGGTACATCTTTTGATTATTCTCCTTTTAAACCATTTACAAAACCAATGTCTTCCTCTTAGCAGGCAGTTCTTTCCAGACACTGAGTTGACTTTGTACTGTAAGATGAAAGCTTGCTCCGCCATGCATCTCAGGGCATCTCTCTGCGAGTAGTTAAAGGTTCATATTGTCTTTTGAGCTTAGGGCAGAAAGGGGTATGGCGGGGCCTCTTTTAAAATGAGGTGGGGGGAAAGGAAGAAAACAATTATTGTCAGAAGTGGGATTCGAACCCACGCCTCCAGGGGAGACTGCGACCTGAACGCAGCGCCTTAGACCGCTCGGCCATCCTGACTTCCTGTAAGTTTTTCTTCCCGATCTAATGTAATTCCCAAAGTGCTGATTTAGGCGCTCGGACCTCGGGGCTGGACCCTGGCAACGTCACCAGGGGTTCAAGAGTCTTGGCAACCACTCAAGTGATCCACACCAAAAAGACGCCGTTGCAGCGGAGACTTTCGTTTGCAGCGGAGACCGCTCTTCTCAAACTGGCTCAATCTTTTTACTGCATATGTAGAGATGTTTTAAATATTTCTATTTAGCTTCCCTTCCCAGCAACCGCAGCATTATTAATACAATGAAAACGAAATAACGTTATTAAATTCTAGCCGCTTCCTAGTGGTGGCATCATATTATTAACTATCGCTAATACGGATGCAAAGTGCCGGGCTGTGAATGATCCACAGGCGGAGGGGGGAGAGGAGTTTGTTGCTGGGAGGGGGTGCTCAGTGGGGGGCTTCGTCGTCTGCTTCTCGGGATGGGTGGCCGGGCGTGTTTAGTTGGGGCCTCGTCCAAGGAGAGTTGGTTTTAGACCTTTTAAATAAGCTGAGCGGCGGAACAGTTGGAGAAGGTTTAAAGAAGAAAATTGTCATCTGTCTACCGAAGCCTGACGTGTGTACAGGGGTAGGGACCCAGTGTGTCTGTCCTTGCTCCAAGAACTGGGGCCTGACATGGAGGTGCAGTGGGTGGATAGTTACAGAGGAAGGTTTTGAGATAAGAGTTTACTGGAAAGGAAGCGGGGTGTCTGTGTAGTGATAACTCCATCACCAGAGGCATTCAAGACAAGGCTGGACGGTCACTTGGTGGAGATATTGGCGAGGGGATTTAAGGGTCTCCTTGTATTCGTTTTCTATTGCTGCTGTAACAAATTTAGCAGCTTAACACCACGCTATTTATTATCTTAGAGTTTTGGAGGTCAGAAGCCTAAAATGGGTCTCCTGGTTACACTCCTTCTGGAGGCCCGAGGGGGTGGGGGGCATGATCCATCTCCTTTCCTTTTCCAGCTTCTAGAGATTATTTACATTCTTCATCTCATTGGTCCACCTCACTCCAACTTTTGCCCTGTCTTCATATCACCTTCTCTGCCTCTGACCCTTCTGCCTATCAGCATTATCCTGTCCATCCTGATAATCTAGGATAATCTCTCCACCCCCAAATCCTTACCTTAACCATGTCTTTTAATCAAGTGAAGGAACATTTTCACAGGTTCCAGGGATTGGGATGTGGTAAGAGAGAGTGTCATTATTCTGTCTATTGGTACCCTACAGCACAATTTGATCTGAGAGATTCCATCTGGGAATGAATTTCCATAATATCTTTACTCTGAAATCAACTTTCCCAACTTCCCTATTCATTTCCCCCCCCAAAATGTTCACAGTCTGTCCCTCCCTTCATCAAAAACATGGCTGTGGCTCCCTAGAAGCTGGTGCTAATTAACCTTGAACTGTTTGGTAGGAAGCATTCGGTTTAAATGTAAGCTGTGTGGCCTTGCATGGATCACTTTACCTCTCTGGGCCACATAGGAAGGAGGGGAGGAGGACTGTAAAGCCATTTGACAGGTTTGTTTGGGTAAAAGAGGCAGTAACTTAGTTTGTCAAAAACTAAATTTAGGCAAAAGGGAAATTTATTGGCTCATGGGACAGAGGGAGGGGT